CACTAATGACATACTAATAAATCATTTATAATTTAGTTGTATATCAATGATAATTTAGTAATAAATTAGTTAATCATTGATAATTTTATAGCAAATCATTTATAACTTCATAGAAAATTAGTTATAACTTTATGATAAATTATCAATAACTTAGTAATAAATCATTCATAACTTAATAGTAAATCATTGATAATTTAATAATAAATCATTAATAACATAATAATAAATTAGTTATAATAATTTATCAATGTTAATTTAGTTGTAATTTATTGATAACTTAATGATAAATTAATTATAATTAAGTTGTAAATCAGTGATAACAATAAATTAATGATAATTTATAATAAATCAATTTTAGCTTAGTAGTAAAGTATGGATAACTTAATAATAAACTATTCATATTTTAATAGTAAATTAGTGATATAATTTAATAGTAAATCACTAATAATATATAGTAGTAAATCATTGCTAACTTATTATTTTTTTTTGGTTTTGGTTGAATATTAATATGGAGCTATATTTTTTTAATATGTGTAACATATTTGATTCATTTAAAAAATTATATTTATTGCCATTTAATACTAAGGTATTGAATTACAAATATTTGTGGATATTGTACACATATATAAATGATTAAAACAATATTCATATACCAATTACTATAACAACATAATTTTATTGAAAAAAAATCAATTTTTGAAATGAAAATTTGGAATGACTTTATCTAAATTTGTATGTCATTGATTGTTGTGTTATGTGGTATCCTTATAACACTAATAGCAACTATATAAAAAAATAATTATCTTTAAAGATATTTTTAAAGTGAAAGAAAGAAATAATGAGTCTAAATTTATTAGAAAACACCATAGAAAAATTACATATAAGTTATTTTTTTAAGTACATAATATTTTAAATTAAAATACCTGATTTAATAATATTAATAATAGTATGAATTCTATAAATTATAATTTTATAATAATATCGATTAAATGATAAATTTTTTGTATGACTTATACTAAATATATGATTAAGTATTCGTCAAATAAAGAAATTACTCTATTTTAAATAAAAAAGAGTTCAAATATTAAAAATATATTCATTATCAATTTTAAAGTCAAGATTTAAAACATAGTTTACCTTCAAAATATAATAATATCTTTTGATATTTATCCAAAATAGGTCATATCTTATTAATTTTAGAATTCTTATATTTTGTTATTTAACAAACAATAACAATATTGAACCAAATTCATTGAGAAGAGTATTTCAATATTTAAAGAATAACATAAAAATACCATTTGATTATGATAAGATATATCTTTAAGTAAAGTGTGTTATTTAAACTTTTATTATAACATATTTTAGTAAGTTATACATATTTATGGCTTTTTAAGAAACCAATATTCAATATTAAAAGTAGTTTTAGTCAATATCTCTTGTAAATACATAAATAAACATCATTGATGATTACATCAAGATATTAATAATTTTGGATTGCTTTAAATCCTTTTTTTAAAAAATATATTAATGTAATATTTTTTAATTAGTAAAATTCATGTAAGTGTGCAATTTTTTGCTATAAAATTAAACTACAAAATGATTTATATGACATAATTAAGTACATATCAAAATAAGAGGTAAGTGATCATGAAAAAGAAAACATCATATATTTACTTTATTTCAAGTAACAAAAACTTTATAACAAAATATTTCAAATCAAAATAAAGAATTTAAATTTTAATTAACAAATAGATGAAAAGCAAGAGTTTAAATGAGTTCAACAATGATTGATTGTCTAAAAAATTTATAAAATTGAAAATAAAAATCCACTACCAAAAAAGTAAAAAAAAAAAAGCTCGAGAAAAAGCATAAAATAGAGAAGAAAGGAAAGTACAAAATCGGATTTGATTGTGATAGAAGATAATTTTTTGAAAAAATTTAAAAAGAAAGGAAAATATATAAAAAGTTGAATGAAGATGATAATCTAAAAACAAAATACTTAAAAAAAAGTCAAAATAGAGAAAGATTAAATATTTATTTTTTATTGAAATTTTAATTTAAAATTTTTGTTATATTTATTTTTTTCAAACTTAAATTTATATTTTCAATTTAATTTAGTATGATGATAGTTATTTTAATTTAATTACTATAAAAGTAATAAAATTATTTTATTATATTAGAATTATAATTTGGTTAACAATTATGTGTAGAGCATGTGAAAGAAAACTAGTAATATAAAATAATTATTATTTTATTTTATTTATCATCTTATACATTAAACATGATCTTAATATAAATCAAAATATGTAGTTATTGTTAAGTCAAAACAGTTTGTATGATCTCCTAATAAGGAATTGGACTCTTGACTAATCCCTCACACACAAAATAGATAATGATCCAACAAAAATATTTAGTGTTTTATTTTATGATAAGAAAAAAAGAAAGCTATGGCGAGTGATCTCTGTGTTTATAATCTTTTTCATGTGTTGTTTCGGCACATATCAGCTTTGCTTTTATCTGAAGAAGCAGCCCATTCTCTTATATCATCAAGAACAAACAGAGTTGCTAGAGTGGAACGTACGGCCTCCATGTTGGATTTATTTTGTGTGTGAATCACTACTGCACTATCTACAAAGAAATGGTTCCAAAGTGTTATCGATTTGTGCCTAAATGGATATCACTGTCACATCTACTGTTATATTTTTATATATGAATTTGAGAGAATTTTACAGCAGGAAGGAGAGAAAGTAAGGTATGACTCTACAATAAAAAAAAAAAAAAAAAACCCTTTAAGATATTAACCACCGTTCTTCACCAATATTTACAGTTGGAGAATCTGATAAGATCAGGTCCTGAATTGGTCACTTTTGGAATTCATTTGTGTAAACTTTTTGACCCTAAAATGTCTTTTTAGCCTACACTTTTCATTGTAAATAAAGAGTAAAATTAATTAATTAACTTCAAATAATTTGACTGGCAGATACAGCGGGATTACTTATTAGGTAAAATTCCAAGCCACTAAAAGTAAAAGGGGTCCGATGCTTTTATAATATATATATATGTATTATAGATAGAGTTGGCATAAGTAATTAAGATTAAAATTTAAATGTAAAATATATATTTAAATTTAAATTTTTATGATTCTTTATAGATACAAAATTTGTAAGTTTAAAAAATTTTATAAAATTCATAAATCTCACTTATGAGTTGATAATTTATTTTCGATTTTAAAAATGAGTGATTTCGCCTACTTCTAAAATTTTTTTTTGACAAAAATATATATATACTGGTATTGCTTAAATATTGCCAGGCATGATTATATATGATTCATTCAATTTAGTAAATTGAATTGGATCTACTAATCTTTTGTCTTAAGTTCATAATTTCTCTTCCATATATTAAACTCATAATTCTCCACCAATATTAGACTTTTCCCCAAATATCTTCAGATTAAAAAGAAGAAAAAATTCCTATATTATCACCTAACAGCAAGGCAATAGTATGTGAAAATGACATTACATTAGATAAAGCACTGAGAAGGACAATTGGGATTTTATATTTTTGCTATCAACTTGCAGTTCAAAGTTAGAAGGGTGGGTGTCCTTAGATAGTCAATGTGACATGTGGCACCCTTGAAGGGACTCATCAGTCTGCTTAATTTTAGCTTAATGTCGTATTAGTTTTGACAAGGAGAGGCCCCCTGTCCTGGTTTAACTTGTGGTTAACTAACTAAATACCATGTAATAGTATTTGTTATTAGAGTAGGCTTTTGTCAGCTAACACCGGCTATTGCAGCTAAATTCATGTCATAATCATCAAATGAATCCATTTCTTTAGATTTAGCACACAACCATTTTCACCTATCAGATTCAGTTTCTAGGTTTGTCACATGGTTAAGTTGATTTCTTTAATGCTTGATAGCCCTGGTTTTCTAGAAATTAAGCATATCCGAAATTCCTAAATTAGCCATATCTGATGCAATTAACCTTGTCAGCTTGTGGTATACAGAAAATTTTCAAAATCAAACAAGAAAAAAAAAGTTGATAGAGTAAGAGTTTGAGATTTTCCCATAAGCATACATTAATAAAACAGGAAGCAATTCAGTGAACAACTGATGTTTGAGATTTCTGAACCTTTTTTGTCGTTCTCTGCTTGTTGTTTGACATAACATGAACTATCATCAGTCTTTTGCATTTTGGATTGATTAATCTTTTAAGTGGACTGGATTACCGTAAACCCTGTCTTTAGCCCAATGAATGCTCTCATCTCAAGCTTTACTGGGTGACATTTCACATTATTCTCCTATATTTGGTTGATAAAGAACAAATGTGACTAGAAGTTCCTTTCAACCCCAAAGAAAAAGGGAAAAGAAATGTCAAATTAATACATTGAAATTTCAACTTAATTGGTTGGCTAGTTGTTGACACTCGTGTAGAAACATTCAATCTTGTTTGCTCAAAAGAGGTCCTTATCAGCAATTAAGTTTACAGGAATGTTAGAGCTATTTCACTTTTTGACCTGACATTTTGTTCATCATTCAGCAGAAAACAATATTTGTGTAAAAAAAAAAAAGAATTGAACCTTGGATTTACAATTTTCCATCCATTTTTTTGTTCATTTGGCCTGAACACACATAAAGTGATGAGTTAATGAGATGAGCGGAGGAGTTTTGAACCTGAAATCTCATTATTTCGTTTTCCTTTTCTGATGAGAGGTGCCGTTGTGAATTAATAACCTATGGATGCATTGGCCATAATTTCCTTCAACTTTTCCTGCATCTTGTTAAAATTTTCCTTGTAGAGACAAATTGAAAAGAGAAAAAGAACATACTAGCTAGTAAAAAATGATTAACCTGCTGACCGAGCAAAAAAGGAAGAAACCAATGAAGTAATTTCATTACGTTGGTCAACAAATCATGTTAATCTGTAGTTTCCTCTTTGCAACTTGATTCAGACTTTTTGTCCTGCATTTTCACACTTGATGTTTACATTGATTAGCTATTTTCTAATGCAACATTAAATTAAAATTTTAGTTTCTCTTTCCGTATTAAGAAGAGACTAGATACTCAAATCTTCAAATTACTCAATTGTGCAGGGAAACCATGATGACATGCCTGCCTAAGTAAATTTTACCTCATCCAGTTTCATATCAAGCTTAGAGGTCACATAGAAATTGTAGGCAGAATTGAGTAAGGGACAGATTTTATTAACTCTATAATACTGTTCACTCAATTAAGTTTCACATTTCAGGTAATTAATGCTAGGAGAGGACGCTTCTTAAACTTGAAAGTACTGCATTCTGCAAACGGAAAGCTGTCATTGCTTCTTTTTCCATCTCCTCTCTTGTTTTTACAACCTGGATAGTCCCATATCGAAAATGGAACTTTCTTAAACAAGCCTAATCCAACTTCATTTACTATCTCCTTTATTTCCCACTTACTGAATGGATGAGCAGTTTTATGCGTTATATGAGCTTCTCCATTCTCTGCCAACATCTCATGTGCGTTCCTCAGAACGCCCTTCACCACCTTTTTGTGGAGCCTATGAAAACCATTATCTTGTTTACCATCATTTACTACTTTTTGATAGGCTAAGGCTGGATATATTATATCGGTTAATTAAGCTTACTCAATTAGGAAAGCTCCATCTTCACGACAGGAGAAGAATCCAGCATGAGGAAAGTTGAAGACTATCCTGTCGAATAAGTCCATTTTGAGGAGGGCATGTTGGCTCATGGTCTAGCCATCAATTTCATGCAGAATTGTGCATCCAAGCTCCGCCAGTTCTTTCAAGTTGGCCATTGCTCCTGAGTACTTATGCTTCAACATCTCCATCGTTCACAGGCTCCAAAGATACAATTAGGAAACATCAACATTGATCATTAATATTTATTCAAACGAAACAGTAGAAGTTTGATCCCACCATTGTAAGAAATCATCACATACTCCACAAGAAACTTAATTTTTCAGAGTTTTTATTTTCCTGTAAATCTGTTTGTTGACAAGATGACTATAATTATAGAAATTTAATAGTTATCTGTAATAACAAGATGTACACCTCTTGAATCAAGAGAAGTGGCTACCATGTTGACGGCAGAACCAAAAGCTCTTCCTAAGCAAGCGGCAAAAGAGAAATCACCCTCACCCACCAGCAGTATTCTATGACTGCTACAATAATGCGTTATCCCATTTTCAACTTTATTGTTCTCTAAACTAACCATTTCATTTCATTCCTTGGACATGCAATTTATTTTTCCACAATCTCCATCCCATTTGTTTCTGCATATATGGGAATTATAACCTCTTCATTTTCCTCTCCTTGAATAATGCATTCAAACCCAACCTCTTAGTTTTTTGTGATTCATATTTCCAATTTAACTTTTCAAAATTATATAGATGCTTCATTGTCTTCTAGTTGTCATCCCATTAGTCCTATGACTTGGTTGGTTCATGTGCACAATTCAGTGTTTGGCATGCAGAAGATCAAAGGGTAAAATTAATCTAGTTAGAATAGTTTATCCCATTTTTTAAAAAAATACTGTTACTGGTCCCATTATGACTTAGCGTTTTTCTATTTTCAATGAATTATTATTCAACATATTGGTGGCAAAGTGGAAAATTCCACAAGTAATTTGTATTTTTACCATTTTTTTATTCAACTAATATGAACATGTCAACTTTATGATTCAACAATAATTTCTTTATTATTTATGTACTAATATATTATTTATTATTTATGAAATTTTTTTTTCAAGTTTGGGTTTTATTTGATCCGGGATATTATTTCATTAATTGAGCCTTCAATTTTTTGGTTTAGTGATTAAAAAAATTTTAAAAGTATGTAAAGTGAGAATTTAAATCCCATCATCCCTATCTAATGAATAAAAAAAATAAAGCTTTGTGTTGATGTAAAATTTTGATTGATTTTCAACTAATTTAGTTATTAAATTCTCAAGTCTTAATTCCTTCTCATTCTCACTCAATAAATTATTGAATGGATTGAATTCAAATTCTCGGTTGTTAAATCCTCCAAATTCTAAGTTTGTTGAACCAACTACTGCCTATAATAAATATTTTTAATTAATCAAAGAACTGGTTAAAAAAAAGCGACATTTTTTTTTTTGTCAAAGGTTGTTAACACCAAATCTAAAATAAAAACCTTGAAAATGTCAATCAAGCTTGGTACCGCGCACCTCTAATTGCATATTCATTATCATTGACTTTGGGATACCTTAAACTAGTTTTTTTTTTTTTTTGGGCGGGGGGGGGGGGAACAAGTACCTTAAACTAGTTGACTAATATAAAGTCGCCTCTCAATTATTTCAAAATATATATTAGTATAATATATAAATCAATCGAGTAACACACGATTATCATATAATCTAATTACGAAATCATATTTGTTTTAATTTTATCAATAATGTAATAATATGATTAAAGATGGATGGAGTAATTTATCATTTTGTTTTATTGAATGAAGATGTATATATATATATATATATATATATATATATATAGACGGTAATTAAGTTCGTTCCCGACAGGTTTCGGTCCAACCCGATCTTATAGGGTCGGATTTTTTTTTTTGAATTTTGAATTTCGGATCGAGTTCAAGTATGCTTAAAACCCGACTCTATCCGACCCGATATTATTAAAAAATTATTTTTCAATTAATTAATTAATTAATTAATGATATTTTTAAATATTTATATTTAAAAAATAATATTTTATATTTTAAAAAATAATATTTTATTAATTTCAGATCGAATTGAATACGATTTACATAATATCATATCGAGTTGGATTCGGATATTAAAAAATTCGAATCAAGTCGGATTCGGCGGGTTTTATGTCATCCCTATATATATATATATATATATATATATATATATATGTACTCACACACTAATATAGTACGACTAAGTATAATTAAATCTCGTCACGAGACAGGAACTTCTCCATATGTACCTTAATAATTTACACAGGAATCTCCCCTTGGAAGAAGAAGAAGCCATGCCATACATTCTCATTGCCGATAATAAACGGATGGCAAAAATACGGTATATTTTATTTAACAATATTCAAATACAACACACCTAACTCAGCTCAAACCGAGTGGCGAAAGCTGGAACGTACAGATTTTCAGCTTAAAATCGAAGCCACACAGACAGAGAAGAAACTGATGAAGTATTAAATATTTATCATCCCTCTTCAAGTGCATTATTAATAATAATAAATTGAATATTGGTATCACATGATGGAACAGATCATAGTTGGGTTCGGATCATAAACCACTTCATAGCACAGGGTACACTCTGGACATCGACAACAACTTGATGAAGTGAATTTGCAGATGTCGGGATTTTTCTCCTTATCCTCGGGATTTTTCTCCTTATCCTCATCTTTTCCTTTGGCTTCTCCCACACTGATTATGGATGCATACCCAAGTTTCTTCCTTAGTAAACAGGTCAAGTTTGCTGAATCAATTCCTTCTCCAGTCACCACAACCTGATCTTTGTCTTTCCCTGCTATCGCCACCGAGCTCACGCCTGTAAAAGAAAAGAAGAACATTCAATATAATGATCAATTTTTTTGATAAGTTGGTTCAAACCATGCTATATATTTACCATTTGCTACTGCAGCAATCTTCATAGCCTTGGTTCTGCATTTGTCACAGTGCAGTTGCGTCTTGATAACTATCTTTTGCTGCAACAAATCAATCATGGTGCATTAGTTTCAGTGACAAATATTTGAAGCTTCCATATATATATATATATGTATATTTATATGTTTTCAAAAAAGGCTTACCTTCATGGTGTAGAGTATGTATTCAATGTACAAAAGATTGCTTTCTTTCAACAATCGATCAATGAACTATTACTCTATGAAGTAAAAAGTGGTAGCAATATCTAATTATATAGGGGAGTTCTTGTTGTTTGGTTGTGGAGAAACATATATAGTCGGTACACTTAAAATACTAATTATTAGCATTGAGAGACGACCTCAAGCTTAACTTAAACTAGTTGATTAATTTTAGTCAACCAACCCCATAAACTGCGGCTTTGCGGACCTATTCAGTTCCATATCCAGTTTCTCAAAACTGCTGCCACTGGCTATTTTTTATTTTTACTTTTAACAGAAGTTGAATACACTGATCTATATATGTACGCAAAGAAAAGAGGCAGATGACAGTCAGGATATAGTCCCAGTTCCTGCATATGTCAGTTTTTGTTGTCTATCTCACAAGTGCATTAACAAAATTAACCTTATATAATCAACTGTCATGTGGTATATTAGTAGAAGCTAGACTCATAGTTTTAGTAATTAGGATTCAATCTCTTACAGCCTCACACATTAAAGGAAATTAACCTTAGACATATGCCATGGATGAACAGCAATGTAAAAGTTTTAGGGAGAATCGTTTCATGACAATGACAAAGACAAATTAGGAAAGCACATTTTTAAATGATGCCGCAAAAATTTAACTTCATTAAAAACTAGACTTAAAAAGTTGCAGCAATTGTCAGAAAGTACTTGTACTAAATTGTAAGAAAAGGCAATTTTGGAGTTTATTGATGGCAGGTTGGACTTGTCTATTGAGTTGTGCTTCGGCGATGATCTCTCAAGCCCAGCCATTACTTTCTCAACACACGATGTGATCTCTTCAGAAATTTTCTCATTCTTCCTCACCATATTAATTGCATCAAACATGGCATTGATTTCTGGATCTTCTCCAAAATCAAAAGCCTTCCCTCCCTTTCTCTTAGCTTCTTTTCTTCCACAATGGACTGCTTCTTCATCAACCCATCCTTATGAGAGAAAAAGGATATATAGTAACTTATTACACTATGATTGTACTGTAATCAGAGACTATCTCGACTTTTTTTTTTATAAATCCACTCAGTATATTTTTTTTTAAGATTATGCTTAAGGTTCTCGCAAATGTTTTAGCATATGAATCTCTTGTTCGTTCTCTGGCCTCAGTTTTTGTATCATGAGATTTTTCCATGTCTGATAAGAAAAAGCTTAGAAAATAAATATTCTGGCTAAAACACAATTTAATTGGTTAATTTCCATGTGAAGCACCAAGGCTTAGTTATTTTGTTGCAAGACACTTTCAATAAGAATTAACAATCTAGACCTCATGGAGTAAAACATCGTTTGGTGATAACAATACAAACCTTCAATGCTAAGAAATTAAGGGTTTGCTTCCATCTCTTACACCCTAAATATGATTAATAAGATAAAAGTAAAATAATTAGGTTTTGCAAAGTTGGAAAATAAAGGATTCCTGAATGTGGTTAAAAGTTTTGGGAAACCATTTATATATAACCATTTTCCAATTTTATAGAAACTTGGAAAATGAGGGTTTTCAAATTTAATTATTACCCTTATTTGATCGATCATATATATAATTAATGTAAAAATTGAGATGAGAGATGAAAATATAAGACGAGGTAAAGGATGGCCACATGTTTGTATAAGAGATTCCCGGAGGATATATATTACAATGCTATAAAGGGTAATGCAAAGCAAACCAAAGATGCCAATCTGTTCCAGTCTTCCACGCACCTCCACGGCTAGATTCAGCTATCTTTCAGCTTCTTCACCAACTTTATTTTCAAATCCTTGGTAAGAGACTCGTGCAATGTATTGGCTGTATTGCCACAAAATCTAGCTAGTGCTACTCACTACTCAGGGAATGGTATACTCACTGCCTGTAAGGTGCTAGAAATGCCAAGCATATATAGGTTTATTCATAGAGAAAAGGACAATAATTAACAAGGAAATAATTAAAGTAATTAATTGAAAACGCTATTCTTACCAGGTTATCTAATGCAAACAGAATCAGGAAAGATTCTGGAAGGACTATTATTGGTTGCTGTCAAGCGTAAAGGTGCGGATTCTCTCAATGTGATCAGCCATCCAACGATCTTTGCAATCCTTGTTAAGCCAGCTGAGGAAGTTCTCGTTCATATCGTATAGAAGCAGCTCCTTAAGGTGAGTAAGATAGTAGATACCTAATGGAAGCATCTCCAGCTTCTTACACTTGCAAATTGTCAGCTTTTCAAGTTTAGGCATTGCAGTTTCCTGTACTACCACCATATTCAGGTTGGCAAATTGTTCAAGTTGCAAAATTTTGAGTTTCTTGAACGAATTAGCATTGAACTCCAAGGCTTTTCCCATATATGCATCAACCATCTGAAGCTCGAGAAGGTTTGGCAAAGCTTCAAGTGCCCTAAGTGGGTTATCACAAGTGTTCAGTCTTGACCACTTCAAATAAATCCTTTGTAGGTTGTCAAGGGAGTGTGAAGAAATCCACCCAGGTAACTTCGCTAGGCGACCTTCTAACTTTAGACGTTGAAGAAAGCGAGGGTGATTAACCATACCATCCAGATCTAGATACTCCCCCGGGCCAGTTGAGCTTACATCAAGAGTCAAAAGGTCGGGCATCTTCATAATGGATGCACACAATCTCTTTCCATCTTCTCTCTTGAGATCAAGAATCCCAAGCTTCTTTAGTTGGATTAAAGCCCCCAACTCTTCTAGTACTTCCTTGTTTACCCTCAAAAGTGACAATTTCTGAAGCTTATTCAAAGTCCCAATTCCTGGAGGGACCTCCACTCCTTGTACAGGATCAAAGGTTACATAATTCTTTACGTTGTAACGATAAACAAGAAGATGGCGCAAAAACTGGAGTTCACGTATCTCCAATGGTAACTTAGTCACAAGAGTTTTTTTGAGGTTTAAGGTTTCAAGGTATGCTAGTTCCTTTATAGACTCTGGAACTGTCTTTATCTTTGTTTCCTTCAAAGAGAGGTACTTTAAAAGGGTGAGCTTAACAATTTCTTTGGGAAAAGTTTCTAATGGTGCACCTTCCAAATCTAAGACTTTCAACCACTTGAATCGATGAACTAATTTTCCAATCTTTGAGCTAAAGGAATCATACCAATCAAACATGAAGAAAGTTCGAACACAATTCAAACCAAAACTCTCATGCCGAGAGAATTTAGACTGAAAAGAGAGGCGTCGGACTTTCTCACTTGGTTCTGTGCTTGGTTCAGCAAGGATTGTGACAAAATTTTCCTCCTCGGATTTCTGAATGATGAATTCTCGAACTATGTTAAGCAATCGACAACTGCTTACACGTCCATCAAAATCCCTTGAGCTTACATGAACCAAATTCCTTCCGATAAGCTCATCGAGGTACTCCTCTGCAACCATCTCCACAGTTTTGCCTCTTTTTTCCGGAATAAATCCTTCAGCTATCCACAAGCGAATCAATCTTCCACGCTTAATTGAATAATCCTCTGGAAAAATACTAAAATACAGAAGACAACTCTTTAGATTGCCTTTGTCCAACAGATCCTTGTAACTGGGCAGCAATACTTTTCCAATTTTTGAAAGTTTGGAACCAGCTTCAATTTCTGACCCAAGGCTGTCATACAATTTCTTGAATTCAGTAGGTGTTTTTTCCCTGGTTGATAGGAGACTAGCGACAGCAACAATTGCAAATGGTAAACCTTCACATTTTACCAGAATATCTTGAGACAACTCCTCCAACTCTTTAGGACACACTCCATCGCTGGTGCTGAAAACCTTCTTACAGAAAAGGTGCCAATCATATGGCCATGATAGAGCTTTTACTTCGTGAACATGAAGCTTTGGGTTGTGTACACAAGAAGAGGCCACATTAGAGTTTGTTGTGATGATAATTATTCTACTTTCGCCAAAACTGGAGGGCAATGCACTCACAATGCGTTCCCAATCGTCTTTACTCCACAGATCATCTAAAACGACGAGGTACCTTCTCCACTGTAAATGGTTTTTCAATTTATCTAGAACATCTTGCCCGGGGGGATAGAGATCCTCTCGCCCCTCACAAAACTGCCCCAACATTCTCCATAAAAGTTCATCAATTTTGGAGGAACGAGACACATGAATCCAAGCATGACAGTCATATCGTTTTACAACACTCTTGTCTTCATAGACACTCTTTACAAGAACGGATTTTCCCGAGCCAGCAGGCCCGACCACAGAAATTGTCATGCGCCTTGCTTCTCCTTCTTCTAGTAACTGCTGCATAAGTTTTGCTTTCTGCTCGTCAAAGCCTACAATTTCATCTTCTTGAGGAATCTGCTTGGTCAAATGATGATCCTCCACCCTTGAACCAGAGCTTGACCCTTCTGCAAGATGAAGATGACGAGGATCAAATTCCCTAAGGTTCTCCTTCTTCCTCCTAATCCCTTTGATTCCAGAGGACAACTGATGGAGGGCATAGCGATGCTTTACAGAATGTGCAGCATCATGAGCCATCTTTGAGACTGTGTGCCGATGAAATTGATGTGGTACTGGCACATGAAGCTGAAACTCGTCAAGAACATCCTCAATATCATAGGCTATATCTCGTAGTTGGTTTGATCGTTCTATCTGCAGCGCACTGCCTTCTTTGCCATCAACATCCCTTAAGTGGGCATGTATAGTCCTCAGCCAGTTTCGGACATCTTCAATATTATCCTGCAATTTTTTTTTAAGGTTTACTTCTTGAGCAAGGAAGCTTGATACCTTCTCAATTAGAAGGAGCGCTGCTGTAACGGCTGCATCTGCCATATTTGCTCCTCCTTCTTTATCCTGGTTGAGGAGTACTTCCAGGATTTAACAATCCATTAATTCTCTCCTCCTTGGCAATAATCCCAAAATTTCCACTTGCTTTAACTCTCTTCATAGCTTTCCACGAAGAAATTACAACAAAATTGAGACAAAGGACCCAGTCAGATGAGAAAAATGCAAGGCATGGCCACCGTCTGACTATTCCATATTTTCTGTTGTGTGAAAATCGGAGTAAATACAAAGGTTTTGTTTTTGTTTGTTTAAAGGTCAATAGAATTAAATGCGAATATAGCTTGCGAGTTACAATTAGACAATTGCATATTAGAAGAATAAAGCTTTAACGCAGGAAGAACAACCATTATATTCCAAGTCAAGTAAATGTATGTTCGATTTGTTTGTATCAAGGTCATATTCATAACTCTGTCAAAGTTTGAAAAAAGGCCATAATAATGCAAAATTCTTCCAGGCTGCTCATATATATGATAATTGCAATAGAATACACCAACCCACTCTGCGGGGAAAAATGGTGGAAACATTCTAAGACTATGATTTATCTCCAATAGAAGGCAAGGCCTGCAAGAACCAAGAAAATGTCCATGCCAGAAGTTAAACTACAACTTGGTTTTTTTTTTTTTTTAAATTACTAATCTACCACTTAACCCCTAATCATTATCTATTAAACTCTCCTGAGCAAGACATTACACACTTAAGCCTTTTCGAGCCCATAAATTCTACAAGTCTGACCCCATAAATTCTAGAAGTCTGACCGGTGTACATGCCATTAGAGCTAATACACAGTTGGCAATTACACTACAACTTGGTTAAGGGTTTAGACCGCCTCTTTTCTTTTCTCTTGATTCCTTTCTTTTTCTGGAAGACGCGAAGATGCCAGAATCTCCAGCTTAAGAAAGTTCATCTACACTTCCTGTCAGCTTCCTTTTGATGGCCTAGTGAAAATATAGATGTTGTTATCCAGGTTTCTACTACTTTATTGCCCGTTTTCAGGTTTGTTTCACTTATTCAATGGTATATATCTGTGGTCGCTCCACTTGATAAAAAAACAACAAAACGTATATCAGTGATAATTAACCCGTGAATTATTACCAACTTTCAGAATAAAAGGCTCTTCAGAGATTTCTTTCATCTCTTAAGAAACTGCTAAATGGTGCAATTGCAAGGCACAACCTATCAAACCTATTGAATCTGCTCAACATGCAGTTCTGTCCCCCAGAATCTGCCCTAACATGATCAGGAGAGCATCTCAAGAATATAGATGAAGAAATCGAAATGAAGACACAATTGGAGAAGCTCAAAGTTCTTCAAAGCTAGCGTGTCTCATGTAACCTTAGGAGAATATGCTGCAAACAAGAACCAAAATGCATGAAGAAAATAGAATTGGCACATAAGATTCATGGTTAGCAATATGCTGGTAATAGCTGTACACCAGTAACACAACTGGCAAAAAAAGAAATCAAAGTAATTGACGGTCTAATTTGCTGTCTGTCAGAAGTTATTCGGAAGCAATTAGTTTGTAGAAATATCATTGCTCAGAATCTGTCCTAATCAACTTCCATTACATTCTCAGTTCCATAGACACAAGATAACTAATTTTTTTCAGAAAGGTTAAGTATTTCTAACACTACACGGTCCAAAGCATCAGAAGTTGTATAGACTGATCATGTACACTGTTCCTGACACAAACAAAAACCAAAGATTCTAGAATTTACCAATGCTGCAATTCCTGACTATTAGGTGCATTCAGCTGGTAGGTTTGACAGGCTAGCGCCTTGCGCAAATGTGACCTCAAATTGCTAACATTGTTGTTGGTTTTCCCGAGACAAAAAAAAAAAAAAAAAAAAAACTCGTCAGAATGAAAAAGGAGAAAATGAAACTGAAAATGTTGTATTACTTCTTCATCTGATGCAACTTTCTTAAATACAAAAAGATTTTAACCTAAAACTAGAATGACTGCTAGTCACAAGGCATGATTTTCTTATTTGCAAGGCATAAACAAAAATCACTAACACACAACTAACTTTCATAAATCACTAACACTCATCTAACTGTTAGGAAATTAATACGCACACGCAGCACTCATACACAAAATAACAAGTTCAAATAAAAAATAAGAATACACATATATATTTGTTTCGGCCCAATTCAAAATGACCAACTTCAAACCTAATTCAATATCAAATAAATTATTACAACTAAGAGATTTTTGAAATGAGAAAAGTCACCAAAAACTCCTTACTAAAAACTTAACCTAAAATCCAATCATACCTTTTTAATAGCCTACTCACCTAATTATTCTCTTGCTGTCTAACTATCTGGAATTATCAAACTAAAATCAAAATATTTTATTTATAAGAGTGAAACCCTTATACCTTTATTAAACTCTCGATTTGGAATACAAAACAAACTCGAACTCACTTAACTTTCAATGTGGGATTATAAGATTCAAGGCAAATCTCAACAAATCCTCCCTTGACTTGAATCTCTAAATATTTTAACAATATCTGCAAAGCTAACACGATTGCCTTTCTTTTTTGCTTTCGTCATAGGAATCCCAACAATTGAGCCTCTATCAAGCATGTGCACGTTATTTTTTATCATATTCCCTTGTAGAATCACATTATCATTCTTGTACACTTTCAATGAATCATTACTACCATAGTATGTGTACCCTCGAGAAGCTAACTCGTCAAAGTAATCAAATTGTAGCTACAACTCGGTACATGCCTTATATGATGAAGTGTCCTAACAACACCATTATAAGATCTAAAGTAAATATTCCTAATGCCTTAACTTGTACCTTTTCGTTGTTAGCAATCACAATATCCCCATGCTTCTCATTCTCATCAAACTCCATAAAGCAACTCCTATCATTGCAAACATGGACTGTAGCAGCTAAATCTAAAATCTAACATTTATTACCTTTTAAAGTCTGAGTCTCATCCACACAAGTCATCAAAATAATATCGTCATCAGACACAATAGCAGTCAAAATCCTCTACAACTAGTGTACTCCCCTCAGGTGATGAGTTTTGTGTTCTCATAAACCTTTTATTTTTATGCCACAGGACAATCATATCATCCAACTTCAAAGTAGATCTACCCATCAACAAAGTCTAAACTAAAAGCCTATAAGACTTGGTTAAATATGATAGCAAAATTAAAGCCTTCTCTTCATCTTTTAACTTATCAACAAAAATCATCAACAATTGAAAAATCAATCTATTAAACTCATTCAGGTGATTATGAAAACTCGTATTTTTTTTATCTTTAGAGAATATAGATCCATCTTCAAACATAATCTGTTAGTTAACGATTTCAATGTAAATACCCTCAAACTTATCCCATAAACTCTTCAGAGTACTTTCAGTCAACATACTATACTTTGTCTCTAAAGCTAGTGCCAATCTAATAGTACTAACAGCTTTTTTCTTAATTCTATTCTAATTACCATCCAATATTTCCTCAGGCTTACTATTTTTTAATGCCTAATCCAACCCTTGTTGTACTAACAGATCTTGAATCGTACTTTGTCATATCATAAAATTACTTTTTTCATCAAATAATAAAATCTCAAATTTAGGCATAGGAATACTAGATATACATTCTTCAGACATCTTGAAATACTTACTTCATGATCTCTTAGGCCTACCTCTTTTTCTCACAAACCTCAAATCTTGAATCTCGCTCTCTTCTTCTCACGAACCTCTAATCTCGTTCTGATATCACTTGTTGAGAAATCAATACACACATAACACCCATACAAAAAATAATAAGCTCAAATCAAGAATAAGAATACACAAATATATTTGTTTCAACCCAATTGAAAATGACCTACTCCAAACCTAATCTACTATCAAATAAATCTTTACAATTGAGAGACTTTTGGAGTGAAAAAAAATCACTCAAAACTTCTTACTCAAAACTTAATCCAAAACTTAATTACTAACTTACTCACCTAGCTATTATCATTCTCTTGGTGTCTAACTATATGAGATTATCAAACTATAACCAAAATATTTTATTTATAAGGGTGAAACCCTTTATACCTTTACTAAACTCCTGACGTAGGATACAAGATAAACTCAAACTCAATTAACTTTCAATGTGAGATTATGAGATTCAAAGTAAATCCCAACACTAACTTTCATAAACTATTAACAAACATCTAACCTTCATAAACCACTAATACACATCTAATTTTTTATCACACATTAGTAACCCATGTCTGTATAATACAGCTAATAAAGCATTCTTGTAACATTTCTCCTTGCCTCAATAGCTACAAAGATCTAGTTTACTTCTTAAACCTTCAAATCTAGTTTTGGATAGGGCTTTGGTTAACACATCTGTAATTTGATCCTCAGTTCTATAATAAAGCAAACTGACTTCACCTATTTTTGTATTTCTCTTAAGAAATATAATTTGATCTTAAAGTTTTAGTTCTGCCATAAAAAACAAGATTATTTGATATTGAAATTGTAGCTTGGTTGTCTATATGAATCTATGTTGGCTCTTTCTCTTATATGTGTAAGTCTGTAAGTATCTTACTGAGCTAAAGTACTTGATTCACAGCTATAATGAATATAACATACTCAACCTCAGCTATGCTTTGAGCTATCACTTTCTGTTTTTTTTAGCACTATGAAAACATTCCTGATCCAAAGCTAAAATAAAAACCTATTGTGCTTTTCATGTCATCAACTAAACCTACCCAACCACTATTAAAGTAAATGTAGAGCTTAAAATCCTGACAGTAGAAATATTTGATACCATAATATATTGTGCCCTTAATATATCAACAATCATTTTAATGGCTTGAAAGTGCACCTCACTAGCATAATGCATAAATCGTGAGAGCAGGCTCACTGTAAACATAATGTCTGGTCTGGTGGTAATAAAATATATCAAACAACCAATCAAACTTCTGTATTGACCTTCATCAATTTTATCTAATCCATTATCCTTGCTAAATTTTTCCTTCTAATTCATTGGGGTATTTGTGCATTTGCAGTCCTCTATATGAAATTTCTTAAGTATTTCCTCTGTATATTTCTTTTGACATATGAAAACTCCATCCTGATTTTGTTTCATCTCTATTCCCAAAAAATAAGACATCAAACTAAAGTCTGTCATCTCAAATACTTTGAGCATTTCGGCCTTAAACTCTTTTATTAGCTCTTCATCACTTCCTGTCATAAACATGTCATCAACATAAATGAAACTATGATCATATTAGCATTAGTTTCTTTTACATACAACATAGCTTTATTTAGGCTTATCCTATTGTATTAGGTCTTGAGAGCTTGTTTAAGGTCATACAAGGCCTTCTTTAACAAGTAAACCTTCTCTTATTATCCATTGACTTGAAAACTTTCTGGTTGTTCCATAAGGTCTACTCTTATAAATAATCATTTAAAAATATAAATTTTACGTCCAGTTGGTAAATCTTTCATTCATTCTGTGTTACCAAAGCAAGTAGCATTCTAATTGTAACAAGTTGTGCTACTAGAGTAAAGGTCTCAGAGAAATCTATTTCATGCACTTGAGCATACCTTTTCATAACTAATCTAGCTTTATATTTATTTACAAAACCATCTATATTAAGTTTGATTTTGTAAACCCATTTGACACCTATAGGTTTTTTGCATTAAAGTTTGTCCACGGGCTCTCAAATGTCATTCTTTTCAATCATTCTAAGCTCCTCCTTCATTGTTTTAATCCACTTGTCATCTTTCTCTACCTCTTTAAACTTTGCACCTTTCATAAATATCAAGCAATGGTTTTGTACCTTTGATTAGTACTTCATTTATGTTATCTTTAAGATTTTGCTAAAACTCTGAGTGTTGCTTATTTTTTTACTCCTAATTCCATTGTCTATCCTCCATGAACTTAACATCACTGCTCACAAGAATTTTTTCATTTTTTGGTTGAAAAAATTTGTAAGCCTTGGATAACCTGTTATATCCAATAAAGATTTTTGGTTCTACCTTTTTGTCTAGTTTGTTTCTTTTCACATGTGGCATATAAGAAAAATAGAGGCAACCAAAGGTTCTTAGATGCTACAAGTTTGGTTTATAACCAAACCATGCTTCAAATAGAGTTCTCTTCTATAAAACTTTTATTGGTAGTTGATTTAATAGAAAGACTACTATGTTTACAGCTTCTGCCTATAATTTTTTTGGCAACTCCTTTTCATATAGCATACACCTTGTCATCTCTATTATGGTTTTATTTTTCCTTTCACTTACTTTATTTTGCTGTAGAGTATAAGGTGTTGTAAGTTAGTGCTCAATACTAGCTTATTCACAAAATTTGTTAAACCTATCAGAAGTGTATTCCTTCCCATTATTTGAACTTATTACTTGCATTCTGGAACCATTTTGATTCTTCACCCATACTTTAAATTTTTAAATACACCAGCAATCTTAAATTTAAATTTTAAAAAATAAATCCAATAAAATCTAGTATAATCATCAATAAATACAATATAGTTCTTACTACTATTTGAAGATGATGTTTTTTAAGGTCCTCCTACATCTGTGTGAACTAGTTGAAGCTTATGTGTTGCTTTCTATGCAGTTTGAGGAAAAAGGACTTCTAACTTGTTTGCCATACTGATAAGCTTCACAATCTACCATCTTATATTCTAGTAATAGTAATCATTTCACCAGATCGTGTTTTTGCATATAAAGAAGTCTAACATGATGAAAATGCCCAAGTCTCATGTGCCATAATTTTACATTGCTTGTGTTACATGAAAAAGCTATACGCTCTTTTTTTATTAGATTTAGAGTAAAGCTTTTTTCTCTCATTTTTATCTTAAATGTATCTATGCCTTTTACATATTTGATCTTACATTATTTGTCTTTGAATAATATTTTAAAATCTTTCTCAAATAGTTATCCAACACTAAGTAGGTTTTGATCAATGTCAGGCACATATAAAACATCAGTAATGCATTTCAAACCTGTTATGCTCTCTATGACCACTGTTCCTTTACCATTGACTGTGATATATTCACCATTTTCAATCCTGACTTTGAAAATGTCAGTTTTATCAAGGTTTTTAAAAAGTTCCTGATAATTTATCATGTGGTTTGTATAACCACTATCAATAAGCCAAGAGTCACTAAAACTACTATTCATTACAAAACATGTTGCAAGAAACAACTACTTTTTCTGATATTGTTCAATAATGACATTTACTTCCTTTTCATGCTTATGTGACTTACAAATCTTTTTTATGTGCCCAATCTGACCACATTTTCTACATTTAATATATGGCCTCTATGAGCATTTTTTTTTTTTTTTATGATTGGTCTTCTTGCAATGTGGACAAGGTGGATAAGTTCCATCCTTGCTTTTATTGTTGCTTGCATTATTGCCAGGCTTGTTGTTATTTTACTTCCTTTGTTCTTTTTTTCTTTGCCTTCTCTTGAATTTCGTGTCTTTGTTTGAAAAGCACATTCCATAAAATTCTCTTATCTCATCATCTTTCTTTGTTCTTATGCTTGTAATGCATTCACCAACTCTGCCAAGGAAATGCTTGACAAATCCTGTAACTCTTCTAAAGAAAAGATTTTAGCTTCATATTTCTCAAGTAATGTAACCAAATTTTTTGCACAATTCTCTTATCAAAAAAATCCTTATCAAATAGTCTCACCTTGTTCATAATATTGAACAGCTTGTCAGAATACTCTTTGATGGATTCTGACTCTTTCATTCTTTGCATCTCGAGTTCTCTAATCAAATTCAGCACCTGCATGTTCTTTATCCTCTCATTGCCTTGATATTCTTTCTTGAGATACTCTCAGATCTATTTGGTTGATTGTAGGTTCATGATTCTGGTGAATATTGTGCTTGAAATTGTAGAATATAAGCAAGCTCTTGCTTTTAACTATCTGGTACTTTTTTCCTTATGATTCTTGAGCTAAGCAACTGTTGGATTACCTGGTAGTGCAGGAACTTCATAGTCATCCTTCACTGTTTCCCACAAATCCAAAGCATCCAAATGTACTGCCATTCTAACAGCCCAAGCTTGATAGTTGTCACCATAAAAAACTGATGGTTCAACTGAGAATGTCTTATCTGACTCTATTTGACTAAGGGTTTTGTGTGTTGCTATGTTTATGCAATGAATTTTTATTTGTAATAATTTTTTTTTATTCATTCAATGCACAGATCCCTCAAGAAGCTTGGCTTTGATACCAATTTTATTGGTTTTACAAAGACAAAAAAAACTCATGAAAATGACCAATGAGAATATGAAACTAAAAATGTTGTACTACTTCATTCGAAGTAACTTCCTTAAATACAAAAAAGATTTTAACCTAAAACCAGAATGACTGCTAGTCACAAGGCATGATCTTCTTATTTGCAAGCCATAAATAAAAACCACTAACATACAACTAACTTTCATAAACCACTAACACACATCTAATTTTTCATCACACATTAGCAGCCCATGTCTACATAATGTAGCTGATGAAGCATTCTTGCAACAATGGTGAAGCTCATACATATAATACAAGTCACCATTCAAGGTTCTTGGCACCTCCACCATTTGTCTTTCAAGATCGTGCCTCATCCCCCTTAGAACATAATATCTAGTGTCAAAATCGGACCTCAATCTTTCAGGAATGGAATATGCCACATCATAACTATTTCTTTGTTATGTTTGGACCGCTCCATTTAAGTTTCCATCAAAGAACCTAGAGTATTGATTCCCATTAGGGATGGTAGAAGGCAACACAACATGCATTGGGATGTGATTCACTATATGATTTTTCTGAGGATAGTTGAAATCAGAAGTTGGCTGCAGCTGCATTGGCATTGGAATGTTTTGAAATTGCCAAGATTTTTTTACGCATTGAACCCAGGCTTGTGGTTATTTCAGAAACCTTAGTTCGATGGGAAACTCTGAATTTGAAGGTGCTGCTCTCACCAAGAGGAAAGGGTTTATCACATCTCGAACCATCCCTTCTCTTATTATGACAACCAGGGTAATCTTCTTTATTGAAATCTACGCGCTGAACCAATGCCAGAGAGCTTCCAGAAGCTAGTTTCTCAAGATTCCAATGGCAAAATGGAGCATTGTTTTTGTGGTTTACATGAATTTCACCGTTAGCTCGAAGCATACCTCTTGCATTCCTAAAGAAACCTTGTACAAGGTTCCTATGCATCCTGTAGTAGTACCGGAGTAAGTTGAGCGAAATTACAGTTCAAAGATAACGATGTGGAAGCCAAAGGGAAAAATACTTTCATATGATCTCTTGGCTCTTGAGTACAATCATCAAGATCTAATATAACAGAAACAAAATTATGAAGCAAAAAAACATTTTACATCAATGTCACGTCCCAGCTTTAGAATGTACTACAAGTATGAACTTCCTCTCATTTAATGGCATGCATTCTTGGTTTAACTCCCTGCAAATCAAAAGGAACAAACAGCTTGATCCTAATTCCTAGGAAGAATTGCATAATTTGCTACAACGAGACTTAAGAGCTTGAAGTTAATCAAATCAATGATGAAAAGCAAAAATGACACACAGAGGAATATTAGTACACCACTACATTCAATACTCAAATAACAGCACAACTTTATGTAAACTTGCTCTACCAAGTTCACTTTTAGTATCAGTTATTCAATTGTGATTACTTAGCATGAATCTAGCTTCCATCATACTTGTAAAGAAAGGTAAGTCATTTTGATATAACTAAAAAGGATAGGAAAGACGATGATGATACGAATATGTTAGAAGAATGCCGCGCATGAGAGTCTCTAGACACTAGATGCACATCTAGAAACGTGACAAAAGGATACAAGATAATATGTGAATATCAGAGAGGAAATTTACTGAATCATATGGACATTATCTTCCTTTCCATAAAAGCCTGCATGAGGGAAATTGAAGATGATTCGATCAAACTTTCGCTTCGCTAAGTCAGTATGAAGCTTCATATTGGTTGCATCCACTTCATGTAGTAAGGATGCCCCTAGCTTCTCAAGATTCTCCAAATTTGACTTTGCGTTCTTGTATTTCTTGATCAAAACATCTGTTTCATCAGAACATCAATAAAATGACATAGCGATCCACATAAAATTGTTTTAACCATAGTTCAACCAAATACTTATGATAACAACTTAAAAAAAATGAAAATCGAGACTCTTTCACTTCTTCTCGAAGGGGAACTAAAAAGGCATAACATTATTAAGAAATATAATTGAGAAAAACCACAAGCATCCCTTTCCTCAGTTTTTTCATTAGCCAAACGAAAAGTCACTTCTTTTTTCTTTAATGAGAAGTAAAAAATTCACTTCTTGACAAAACACTGGTGACCATGCATGCTCCAAAAATGCCCTGATAATCCTATAAAATTGTATTCTTGTAGGCAAATACCAGTAAGAAACAAACCAGATTGGTCCTTTTCAAACATACAACGACAAGTTAGTAAATTGCCATGACAACCAAGTTAAAAAAAAAAAAAAAAGACAGGTTATGGAAGACAACAAGGCTGTTAAACAAGTCAAAAACAAAACTTTGCTATAAACAATTCAAGAAAGAAAACTGAATAAAAGAAAAAGGATAGCTTTCTAGTTTATGCCATAGGAGTCGAAAGAAGAAGCGCAAATGTTGGAAGCAGAGGCAAAAGCATTGGCCAAACTCAAAGAGAAAGAGAAATATCCTTCACCAACTAACAGTATTTGATGGTTTGATGAATAGTGAGTGACCCATTTCTCTTCTTCGCCTGTTTCTGCATTTTCATCACTGCCCATTTCGATTTTTGGCTCTTTGGTTGCCATCAAACATCAAAGGCTGCTCTTTTGCAATTTCAAAAACATAAAAAGACTCTCTGCCTTGACTCAAAACTTGCCCTGCTGTAAGCTATAACGTCGTCTTGCCTTATTTCGAGGCTTACATACACAGCAAGAGAGAAAAGAAAAAGTAAATTATAATTTGAATTTCTTTTTTACTAATTTAATACATAATATATAATACAGGTAAATCAAAGTTTCATCCTCACATTTATCTACCTATTGATTTAGTCTTTTTTTTTGGTTCAGTAAAGTGAAAATTGTGCACTATTTTTTTTTCTATTTTGATGATAATTAAGAAGTTTTTGAGTAAATTATCAATACCATCAAAAGTGATTTCAATGAGCTTTTTTTTTTTTTTAATGATATATCATCAAATTGTTAAAGTATTTTGATTTTATTAATTGGCCCAAAATCAAGGATTTGATCAAATTGACTTTGTTACTTTAATTCTTGTTGGGGTGATTTCAATGATTTTTAAGATGATATTCAAATTAATTTGACTTTCCTTTTTTATACAAATGCAAATGCAAGATGATATAATGATGCATTCAATGACAAAGGGTTGCATAGTCAATTAGATTAGTCACAAGACATACACTAACAATTACAAACACAAATTTTGTTATTAATAAAAGCATTAAAATTTTTGCAACTTCATAAACACATGAAAAGCTCACTCCCACTTCATAAACACATGAAAAGCTCACTCCCACATTATAATTGGTACAATTTCATACATGGGTATTTCTCAGTTCGCACATATATTTTCTTATGTTTTGCGCGCGCGCACACACAAAACAATCTCAACATCTTATAAAGTCAATGAAAATTAGAAGCCAAAAGCTTGCCAGCTATAGGACGCGATGGACACCTATGGCTGGGGTTTGGTCCGTTGGTGAGAAACTTCTAGTGCTAGGAAAATCTGGGGCATTCATTTTGCTATAATCATTGCGTGCTGATGTACACTGTCAACAAAAACAAGGATTCTAGTATTTACCAGTGCTGTAATTCCTAAGTATTTGGTTCATTCAGCTGGTTGGCTTGACATGCTAGCACCCAACGCAGACGTGACCTCAAAATGCTAGCATGGTGAAGCTCTTGCTGATAATACAAGTCACCATTCAAGGTTCTTGGCACCTCCACAATTTGTCTTTCAAGACCACGCCCTGGAACATAATATTTCGCATGAAAATTGGACCTCATTCTTTCAGGAAAAGAATTTGCTATACCGTAAGTATTCCTTTGATACGTTTGGACCCCAGCATTTAAGTTTCCATCTAAGGAGTATTGGTTCCTAATAGGGATGGTAGAAGGCGATCCACCATGCAATGAGATAAGATCCCTTATATGATTTCTGCGAGAATAGTTCAAATCAGAAGAAGTTGGCCGCAGTTGCATTTGCTTTGGAATGTTTTGAAAGTGCTGAGATTCTTCACACATTGAACCCAGGCTTGTGGATGCTTTAGACACCTTCTTACCACCATTGGCAAATATGAATTTGAAGGTACTGCTGTCACCAAGGGGAAAGGCTTCATCACATCTTGGACCATCCCCTCTCTTATTGTGATAACCTGGGTAATCTTCTTTTTCGAATTTCACGCACTGAATCAATGCCAGAGAGTTTGAAGAAGCTAGTTCCTCAAGATTCCAATTGCAAAATGGAGCCTTATTTTTGTGGCTTACATGAATTTCACCATAAGGTCGAAGCATGCCTCTTGCATTCCTAAAGAAACCTTGCACAATGTCCCCATGCATTCTGTAGTAGTGCCAGAGTAGAGTTGTGAAAATACAGTTCTAAGATCATACAGTGGAAGCCAAAGGGAAAAATACTTTTCTCATGATCTCTTGATTCTTGAACACAAGCATTAAAATCTAATATAAGAGAAACAAAATTACAATGCACAGAGCATTTTACATCAATCTAACATCCCTGCTTGGAATTCTCTCTCATTTAATGGCATAGATTCATGGTTTTAACTCCCTCCATATCCAAATGGAATAAACAGTGATCCTATTTTCTAGGAAGAATTGCAGAAATTGCTGCAAAGAGACTTATGAGCTTGCAATTAATCATATAGAGTATGAAAGCAAAAATGAAACACACATGGACATTAGTAAAACACTACAGTCCATACTCAAATAACAGCACCAATTTCCTCTCCTTACTTATTTTGCCTTAAAAATTAAGAAAAGCAATATGAAGGTTTCGATTTATGTAAACTTGCTCTACCAAGTCCACAACTAATACCAGTTCTGCAATTGAGATTCCTTAGTATGAATCGTGAAAATGATAGCTTTCACATACTTTTAAAATAGATAAATCATTTTCATATAACTAAAAAGGATAGGAAAGAAATTGATGATATGAATATTTTAGAAGAATGCCATGCATGAGAATCTCCAGACACTGAATGCACATACAAGATATATAATATATGAACAGCAGAGAGGAAATTTACTGAATCATATGGACATTATCTTCCTTTCCATAAAAGCCTGCATGAGGGAAATTGAAGATGATTCGATCAAACTTTCGCTTCGCCAAGTCAGTATGAAGCTTCATTTTGGTTGCATCCACTTTATATAGTAAGGATGCCCCTAGCTTCTCAAGATTCTCCAAATTTGACTTTGCTTTCTTGTATTTCTTGATCAAAACATCTGTTTAATCCAATAAAATTATATTATTGTAACCAAATAATTTTAGGAAACAAACCAGATTGATCCTTTTCAAACATTACCACAAAAACATGAGAAAAAGTACCTAGTAAACCACAAAAACAAACCTTTTGCTATAAACAATTCAAGCAAGAAAACTATGTATAAAGAGAAAGGGTAGTTGGTTTAGTTTGTAGTACCATAGGAGTCCAAAGAGGAAGCACAAATGTTGGAAGCAGAGCCAAAAGCATTTGCCAGACTCAAAGAGAAAGAGAAATCTCCTTCCCCAACTAACAGTATTTGATGGTTTGATGAATAGTGAGTGGCCCATTTCTCTTCTTCATCCCTATCTCCAGTTTCATCAATACCCATTTCGTTTTTTGACTCTTCGATTGCCATGGAAGACAGCTTCTTTCTGACCAAGATAAAAAAAAAAGGCTGATCCTTTTCAGTTTCAGTCACAGAAAAAGGTTCTTTTGTTTTTTTTTTTTTTTTTCCAATGCCTTAATGGTGAAGGAAATGGTGTCACAGAAAAGCTTCTGCCTTTGCTCTTTGATGGCTATTGAACAAGGCGGTTAATATCATACAGATAATATTTCGATTTAAAAATAAAAAATATATATATATATATATGATATATATCGATCTCATATATTTTGATATATAATTTCAAATTTTTTAATTTAATATAACTATACTTATAAACGTATATAAATTTGTATATTATAATATTATTAATAATTTATAAAATAAATATATAATATATTCAAAAATTAAAGAAATAAATTTAAAAGTATAAAAAATAATATTATAAAATTTTTATGATATTTGTAATTATTTAATATGATAATATTATATTTAAATAAGTATTTTTATATAAATATTAAGATAAAAATAAAAAAATTAACCAAAATTTTATAATTGTTAAATTTTATAAAAAAAATATAATTACTTTCTTGAAAAAAATTAAAATACTTATAAACTTATGTTTGAAAAAATAAAATTATAAATTTTGGTTTGAAAAATAAAATACTAAAATAAAAAATAAAGAGACTCAATTTTTATGGGTTATTTTGTTAATTAATTTTTTTTAAAAATTAAAAATAATTAAATAACAAAATATAAGTTAAAAATTATAAAATATATTTTATATTTATGTATTAATTGAAATATTTTACTTCATTAAAATAGATCAAAATAAAAAAAATTAATATTATTTGATATTAAATTTAATATAAAAAATTATTTTTAAATATATCATATTTTAATATAGTTGAAGTGTATCGGATATCAAAATAAAATTAATAAATGGAATTCAACAAAGTTGGATGGTTGAAAGTAAAATTAAAAATGGAATATCTTAAGAAAATTATTGGAAAATTATATTACTGTTATCCGTACATTTTACTTTACTAATATATCAGATGAAGAGTGCGTGTCATTGGGTGAGCCGCCTAAACTTTTTCCCATCTTCTTTAGCTTTTTTTTTTATTATTTTTTTTTGCTTTATACTTTTTTTTCTTTTAAATAGAGGGATAAAATTAAAAAATTTTGACCTTTTTATAGTTAATAATTAAAATTTTATCTACCACTTATTTTATCTCTATGTTTTTGTTAAAAAAAAAAAAAAAAAAGTGACAATATTTTTGATATCCCCTGTTTTGGTTAAGTAAAGTGAAAATGAATATAATAATTTGTCCAGTTTTGACATTGAAAACATTCATTTGCTTCCTCAATTAACATCCATTCCCTAAACATCATTTGATTGGTAAGTCTGTTTTGTACGAGCAGCTTGGTCCTCATCAAATTATTGGAGAGGAATATTATACCTTTCCCTTTGTTCAAATATTGTTGCAAATAGCACTAGTATTAAAAATAATAGAAGTGAGATGTATCACTTTTCTATTGATCACTTTTCGCATCCAAATGGTCCAATATTATTCTTTACCACACTTACAAGTAAGCACAACCCTTTTAGCAATCTTCATTTCATTCTGTATGAACATGGTGTGATCATACATCAAAATTACAGGTGAAACATGTTTATGGACGTGGTGTGATCATAATTATACTTTATATTACTCTTTTGATAGGATACCAATTCACATAACATTATATATTTAGATATTGCAAATCCTTTACACCATATATGATGCAAGGTTCACCAAAGATCATGCCATTCTCTATAAACAATAAAGTATGAACTTCGTACAATAGCCTGGCAATCCTTTCTTCAGATATTACAAGGTCTACATTGACAACCTTGGCCTTGAAGTGGACATTAACAAAGGGTCGAATAAAGGTTTATCGGCATCAGCTTTTTCTATTTTTGGTGTTTGGGTTAAGAGTGGGGTTGGAACTCGAGGCCACCGGCCGTGGAAATAGGCCAAATTTGTAAGTTTTGCTAGGATTGCAGTTGAAATTCTTGTCACCACCAAAGCCATATTTGGTGCGATAGCCTGGATAGTCGGTGAAATTGAATGGCACCTCTTCTATGAGCCTGAGCCCAACAGCAGAGGCTAGACCTCGTAAATTCCAACCCAGAAAGAAAGCATTGGATTTATGCGTCACGTGAATTTCACCACTCTCATCGATCATCACCTTAGCATTCTTAAAAAATAAGCTTATCAGCAATTGATGCCGGCTGCAAATTAAAAACAAACAATTACTGCCAGGAATAGCAAGGTTGTGTTTTTTTTTTCTTTCCTAAGCAAACCCTGTGAAAGTTCGAGTTTTGAGTGAAGATTTCACTTACCGTTTCTGGGATTCGCCAGGTTCGTCAGAATAAAATCCAGCATGTGGGAAGTTGTAAATGACTCGATCAAATTTAATTCCTCCAAGGCTGTAATGATTTGCCATTTCAGTTGCATCAACACCATGCAAAATCCTGCATCCCCTTGTCCTCAATTCATGGATATTGGACATTGCCTTCTTATAATTTCTGAACAAAAATCCTGCAAAATGTAATTGTCAATAACACATTTCGGCTCAATTTTCAAGCAGGAATTTTCCCTTTTGTTTGCTTGCTGAAATTAGCTTCCCTTTCTTCTTGCTATTAGAAACAAACAAATTGAAAACACTAAATCATTGGAAGCAGACAAAGCAAACAAAGAGGAGTGCATGGGAGTTCTTACCTCTAGAGTCGAGAGAAGTAGCAACCATGTTTGTAGCAGAACCAAAAGCTTTAGCCAAACTAGCAGAGAATGAAAAATCCCCTTCACCCACCAACAAAATCTTGTGAAAACTGCAATAATGCCGTATCCATCTTTCTTGGGCTCCAACTTCCAAGACATGATATGCAGAACCCTGCCTGTTCTCTTCCACAATATCAATGCATGCAGAGGTCACATTTTGATGTAATTTAAAGCTTGAGTCTGTCTCACTGTCACTTGAAGTATCAGACAACTCTGGTATAGAAATGCATTGGCTACAGTTTTCATTTGGGTCTTCTCTTTCCTTCCCTTGAGGACAGAAACAATTTTTAGTGTAGTTGAAAAGTTTACCCAACACACGTTTTCGAACGAAGGAGAGAACTTGTCCCATTGAACCTCTTCTGCTGCTGCTGCTTCTTATTCACAGGGCATTGCAAGATGCAGGGAGCCAAGGGAACTGGTCCTGATAAGAGCAATATGGCTCCCTGGTGAGTTAATGCACGTCATATCGAATTTTAAAGCGATTGATGCGACTTTAGGTTCTTTTTTCTTGAAATTGGAAACGTGATTTCACTGCCATTTTTTTGGCAAAAAGCTGATTTTCCTTTCGAAACCTAAATCCATGCAATGTCCGTTGTGTAAAACTTAGGATTTCACTTTTTTATACTTACCAGGATTTTTTTTAAGTAAAATTTAGACAAAGCCGATTTTCTTACCGTAAAAGTAAGAACTTCTCTTCTAAAAATATTTAATAAAAATTTTAATCTAAAATCTAAGTCAATCAATTGATTAAGATTAAAATATATAAAATTTTTCCTTTTAAATATCTATTATAATTTAAATTTGATTAATATTTATTTAATTATAAAAAAACTACATATCCTGACCTGTGGACTTCCTCCTTATTTCAATGTCCGTACATGCATTTACCTCTCTATTCCTCAAAAAAAAAAAAATCTACATATCCAGACCTGTGGACTTGTCAGATGATGAAATCACAATTTAACTAATATAAGTCTAGCTAGGCATCTCCAGTAATTAGAGAAGCATGCAAGATTGAATTGATCAACAAAGAAAATAAAGAAGTTAGCAGAAAACTAGATATATGATGGATGCTAACAACCTAACATAGCAGTAGATTAAGCTCATAAGAACCCAGAAGGTTGACATTAATGCCACTATAAAATGAAAAAAAAATGAATATATTGTTGAGAAAATGATTTCCATATTGGCAGAGATGAGTAAAAGGAGAAACAATTACCTTTGTTGTTTGGAATGGAAGTGGCAGACTACATGGAGAGGAAAGAGATATTTTATTTTGTGATTAATAATCCATTGGTTGAAGAAGCGGCTGTTGTAAGCAAGCTTGGAAATAGAAAGTAAGTCTTTATGGTCAACAAAACTAAGCAGAGAGGAAAGAATTTTTTTTTCACTTTGGGCAAAGTTATTCCAATTCTGGGTAATTTAGTAAAATATTAATTTTCTTTTCTTTTTTTTTTTCCAAAGTATCCTATATGTTTCAATTGGTACAAGTAAAAGGGTATCAGCCCCTAATATGAGCAGTACTACTATTTAAACCATAGCGAGAGGTGATGGAACTTCCATCTTTGTGCTACACTAACTTGATAAACTTTTACTTGAGAGTGTGATGAGTGAGAACAAAACAAAGAACAGGATTTGAGAGCTTAGTAGAACATGTAATAAAAATTCGAAACTGATCCCATTCTGTTCATCACAAGTTAATCACTGAAGTATAGGCAGAAAACAACAATTCGGTTTCTTTGGGGTAATGGGGCTAAGCATTTTCTTTGTTATTATCTTAGAAAAACTTCATAAGCCCATAGGTACGTCATTTTTATCTGGAGAACTTCCAATTCTGAGGATTTTCTATTTATCAGTTGCCATCTGCATTTACTGCAGCATTCACTAGTCCTGCATTCAAATCTGCAAAGAACGTCTGTAAATTGTTGCATTTCATTCATTTGATGTGAAAACCTGCTGCCTATCAGTACCGATCTTGAACTTCAACTAAGGGTTGTATTGCTTAATTTATTTATTTGTAAATCTTAGTAGAGAGAAGGGGTAATGTATGAGAGATGATTGTTACTACTTAATAGTTGCAACTTGAAAAATGCAAAGCAGGGCCCAAGGATGGGGGAATTTAGCGAAGTATCACTTTTGTTTGAATTCAATGGAACTGAAATAAATTTTATTGAATGTGCAAAAACAAATGGTATCAATATATAACATCGGAAGTTCTTTTCCATCTCCTCGCAAAGAGCAAAGTTCTAGAGATTTTTCTACTTTACTGACCTAAATGACATTGACTGAAAAGTTAAAGTTTCATTACTCAATCTTGCTGATCATCCAACCAGGGAAATCTTTTGGTCCACAATAAGAAAAGAAAAAAGAAATGGCAACTAAAGCTTTTTTTATCTCCTGTACCAGACAATTCTAGACACTCACATTTTAATAGCTTAAATAGCTTAACAAAAAAGAGTTCAACAGTATGTCCACTTTAATTGATGCAAACTGCAAAGATTAGGTTTTACCAGCTCTGAAACCTTATTCTTTCGTACTGACTTCATTATCCCTGTTAATGTTGTACATACTTCAATTTCTTTAAAGTGCCATGTCCAACACATATTTTACAGACATAAATACGAAGATTCCATTCTTATTCTCCAACTATATAAGGAAAAATCTTTAAGAGTCTGAACTTATTCGTATTCTATACTCACCTCCGAGTCTGTCAATATTTATTTTTACTTAATAATGGATTGAATGTGTAAACTACAAATACGAGATTTATCTAAATGCCAGAAAGTGTCTCAAAAGTAGAATCCTATCCCATGAATTAGCACACAATCACATCATCGAGTCACTACTTGCCAGGCCCCATGGTAACAGAAACAAGTAGCAAGCTTAAGCACTAAGCATAACATTTGTTTTTACATTTTTCAGCATTACTTCAAGAGTGCTGCAAATTCGAAAGCAAAAGCAAACCCCTGCCGTTTTCTATCTTTATAAATCTAATCTACTGCTTTTCCGAATCTCAAAACACTAGAGTAGCACACTTGGTCCCACTCACTATCAAAAGCTTCTTTTCTACTTTGCTTTCTTAAATCAACTTCTCAATTTTTGTTTAAGGAAACATCAGACTTTAAACTCTTCTCTTTTCTCGTTTTCTTCACTAAGAATTCTTTTTAATCCATTAGCATTTCTTAGAGCATGCTTTCCCCATTACCTCCACGTCCTCCCCCACCACCGCCAGTATCTCCTTCGCCACTGCTAAAGCGAGCCATTCCAGTCCCTGTAGACCAATTTGTAAACCAACAAACTCCAACTTCAGGAAAAACAGATCCTGACTCTGAGCACTCAAGAGAAGTTAGAAAATCAATCCTACGACAGCCTCATCCTCGAAGGACAAATCCATTGATATGGTGTTGTGCAATCCTGTGTCTGATATTTAGCCTTATCCTTATCTTGTTCGGCGTAGCAACTTTAATCATCTACCTCTCCATAAAACCAAGAATTCCTGCGTTTGACACTCCTAAAGCAAGCCTCAATGGTATCTACTTCGATTCACCTGAATATTTCAATGGTGATTTCATCATCCTGGCAAACTTTTCCAACCCCAATCGGAGAATTGACGTAAGATTTGAGTATCTGGTTATAGAGCTCTACTTTCATGACAGGCTCATTTCAACTCAAGCTGTTCAACGTTTCTCTCAGAGAAGAGGAGAAGCTAGACTAGAAGCTGTTCATTTTATATCTAGCTTAGTCTACTTGCCGCAGAATCTTGGTGCGGAACTACAGAAGCAGGTTTCGAGCAACAGGGTTAACTACAACATAAGAGGGACTTTCAAAGTGAGAGCCAATCTGGGTTTGATCCATTTTTCTTATTGGTTGCATAGCAGATGTGAGTTACTGATGTCTAGTCCACCAACAGGTGTTTTAGTTTCACATAGTTGCAAGACAAAAAGATAAAAAGCACCCTTTTTTCTTTATATCAAGATGCTCCATTTCTTCTGTTCTAATTGAGATTAGTCAATTTTGATGTAAGAAAATTCTGGTTACTTTTTAGCTTCAAACAAATAATATATGTTTTTTTTCCCCGTTATTACAACAACTTGAGCTCTGAATTTTTCTTTTTCTTTTTTTTTCCCTTCATACTTGGAACATCAAAATCAATCATCATTATGGGTATACCTTAAAATAGTACAATATGGATTTAAAATCTTCAGAGGCTCAAAATGATAAAACTTAGTTATATGGCTTTCAACAAGGAACTAGTATTTGAATCTCTGGGAACTTCTGTTTGTTTACAGTTCTTCCATTTTTGATCTGCTTACTTGCCAATCTCTCACTATAATCTTTCTCCATATTACTTCATGAGATATAAGTTGAGCAATTGGTTAATGACTACATATATTAATAATTAATATGGTAGCGGAATTAGTCATTGAGTACATGTAAGAACAATAGTACAAGTCATTGTAATTATAATTTATATAATCTGAGACCACCCAATAGATGAGAAATAAAGTCTCAGTAAACATAAACGCTTCAGTACTTGTAATCCTTAACAAACAAACTCTCAGAAGCCAACCCACCAGCACTTCCTCCAGTATACTTTCCAAGGGTGGCGTCAGAATTAGCTTTGCATCTCGATAAAAATGCTTCTTGTGCTTTTGCAACATTCTCCTTCTTTCCTGCCCATGTCTTAAGTGTGCTTTGCTGCAGAGCTCGCCCGAATGAGAAAGACAGTGTCCATGGCTTCAACACATCTAGCTTGTTCATTGCATCAAGATTCAGCGTTGCCTCTTCCTCACTTTGACCTCCTGACAAAAACACAATCCCCGGCACTGCTGGGGGAACTGTTCGACGAAGTGCAGCAACTGTATATTCTGCTATCACCTGGGGTGAAACCTGTGAAACAAGACAATTTTAGAACCATCATGATAATGTAACAATCTCACTTATCTAATGTATGACAATTATTTTCATGAATTCATATGATTAGAATCACATATAACTAAAACTGCGTACCTAAATCATCTTTTATCTCTATTAAAAGAGCTACACGAAAGAATGTACACTATTGCATTACCTTTGGGCTGTCAGAACCTGGAATGACCATGTTAGGCTTCAAAAGGGTGCCCTCAAGTAGAACATGGTGATCATTCAGTGCCTTGTAAACTGCTGCAAGCACAGTTTCTGTGACCGCAGCACATTTTTTAATATCATGAGGTCCATCTGTTAGAACCTCAGGTTCAACAATGGGAACAAGTCCATTTTCTTGACAAATGATTGCATAACGAGCCAAGCCCTGTGCATTCTGCTGGATTGACAATTCAGATGGCTCATTGGCGCCAATCTTTAGCACGGCACGCCACTTTGCAAAACGTGCGCCAGCTTTATAGTACTGCTGGCATCGTGCTCCCAAGGAGTCAAACCCTTGAGTTGTGGTCTCACCATTGGTGCCAGCAATCTCAACAGTACCCTTATCCACCTTGATACCTGGAATCACATTGTTTTCTTGAAGGACTTCAACGAAGGGTTTTCCATCAAATGTTTTCTGATAAAGTGTTTCCTCAAAAAGGATGACACCAGAGAGGAAGGGCAGAGCTTTCGGAGAGGTGAAAAGGAGCTCACGGAGGGCTTGGCGGTTGGACTCAATGTTTTCAACGTTAATGCTAGCTAGACGCTTTCCAATGGTGCCTGTACTCTCGTCTGCTGCCAAAATACCTTTGCCTGGCGTGGCAATGAACTTGGCGTTCTTGATCAGCTCCTCTGGAGAAAAGAGAGGCATTAGTCAAGCTAGGATTAACATTCATGCAGAAAATTATATGCTTCCTGGTTTCTATAACTGTTATGAAAATATGAACGTCTATGGATTAAAGTGTTGGACATTCTATCCTTAAGCCTGTTCGTACCAAGTAGAAAATAGTTTCCTATGTTGTTCTGGTGCATGCACTGCATTGAACTGCTTTGCTTTAAAACCTGATAATTTAATTTTCATCACAAGGTGACAGAGCTACCATGAAAACAAGTTTTTGTTCTGGTGATAACTAGGATTCGATTTGCTCAAGGAAAGCTTGAGACAATGTGTTTCACATTAACATTCCAAGACAATTGAGTGAGAGGGTGGGGGGTGGGGGGGGGGGAGAGAGAGAGAGAGTTTACCTGCATACTTCCCAACAAAAGCCGACATGGTTTAGTCTCCAGAGGAAAGATAATGGATATGAAGAAAATTACAGGACGAAAATACAAAAGCAAATCCACACGAGCACCACACCTATATAGATTAGCTCGTATGGAATCTACCAAAAGGAATCCATCACATGCCGTGCACCAACACGTGTCAATAGAATAGCCCATCGAAAATTATCATCCTCGGATAAAGTAATGAGTGATCATCTTCCTGGCCAAGTGGCAACTTAAATCTATGCTTTATGCCCCCTAGAATTTTATTGTGTGGAATTGGAAATTGCTTGTCCCTCAACCAGTTGTTTAGTTGGGGAATTGGAGGGAACGAGAGAAGGCAACACAATTCCTCTGGCTGTCACTTCTCTCCCTATTTCAGCCACAAACCTTAACTATTGGTGCAACTCTAGGAGTGAACTTAACATATAAGGCGACAAAGAACATAGCACTTGTTGCCTCTATTAATTGATTGTGGAATGCTCTGCCTTTCGTGAGAAGGAAGGATAAAATGCAGATCAAGAATGTAGAATGGCATTTCATTATATTTTAAGTTTGAAGTGAAATATTGGGGTTTAAAAGATACACATATCATTGGGAGGCTGCTAATCATTTATAAAGTTGTGCCAGCAACTACTCCCCTCTAATACCACGAAAGAAAAAGCAAAGTTGTTTTATATGTGGGGGTTGACTAGGCCAGGTTATTCCAACTTCCTGGTAAGTTGGACCCTTTCCAAGTATTATCATTAGATGATAGAGTGATACATAAATGGCACCCCTAGCGTGTGACTCAAAAGATTTAGGAAAACGAAAAAATTAATTCAACAATGGGACTCTAGGTCTAATTAAGTCAAAATTGTTTCAAAACTGATTATGTGAAGCTCAACATGACTAAAGCATGCTCAGTTGAATGCTCCAGCTCAGCAGTAAAACATTTGGGAGGAGATTTGTGGGTTGAAAAATCAGCAGCTCTGATTGAACTATTGCATAGGGGCCACCACTTGCTGGTCATCATCATCTGTTCCAAAATATCGGTCCCCAAACTCACCCATACCAGGGACAACTCGGAAATCTTCGTTTAAACCAATATCAATCTCAGATGTCACAATCTTTACTCTTGGGAAGCTTTTGCACACCACATGTACACCTTGAGGTGCCTGGCGAATCAAGTGACATGATCAAGCAAGACGATAAGTAAATGTAAACAGAAATTAGTCAACAGAATATACTTATATTCATCGACTTGAAGCAACAGTAACTTACAGATATGAGATTGAGAAATATGATGTTGGACTCCGGTACACCCTTTTTTATAAGTAATGAAATAGCTTGAACAGCTGAATTGCCTGTAGAATAGTTTGCAATACGTTAAAACCACAAGATTATGACATTAGGTTAAATGAAACATGTCCAAAACAAACTACTAGCTTATAGACAATGTGACTAAAAACTTAACGGTGTCCCTGATAAGATTAGTTCTGGGTTAGGATTCAAGGGTGAGTCAGGACTATGAAAAAATTCATAGATTTTACCCGGGGTGCATAAATACCAACTCCAACTGAGAACAAAATGGATAAGCATGAGAACCAAAAGATACTCAAAAATGAAATGCTATGTAAAACGGTTAACTGGAAAACATGTGCACATAGCAGAAGATGATTATCAACCTTGAACATAAACATACCCGTGCCTAGAATAGGATCCAGTAGCAGCACATGCCTTTCTGAGATGTCTTGTGGTAATTTTTCATAAATAAGCTAATCAATCATTGAAGCATGAAAGAAAGAGTGAGAAAGTTGGCAAATGAACGCAATTTTCATATCTGAAAGGTAGTTGAGTTTTCAAACAAACCTGCTGACCATTGTCACCTTCCCTGTGAATAAGAATCTTGCCAATCTTGATACCTTTGCAACATGCTCGCAAAGCATTCTCCATACTCTCACCACTAGCATTAGTTTCAAAAGTCAGTAGCTGATGGTATGAAATAATGAGAATGGAGTGCACCAAGAGAGAGAGAGAGAGAGAGAGAGAGAGAGTGGTAGTCAAAGCAACAAGTTAACAACCATGATAGATTCAACTTGTTTCGTAAAAGCAATTGCACTCACTCAACCACCTTTCCTATTGGTCTAGAGCTATCTGAAACATTTCTTTCAACTTCCCACACCCACTTAACCACGGCAAACCACAACAGTATTAGTTTTAAGTTCACATGACCAAGGCATATAGGAAGCAGCTATGTTCTACCCTTGTAAGTTATAACATCACCCTAAAAGTCATGCAATTTCCACCACCAAAGTCATCACCGACGCATCAATTTCTGATCATCACTCCCTATTATTTTGCTCTTCAAAAGAATCCCCTCCTCTTTCAAATATGCCCAAGAAAGTTCTAAATCATGCAGGCCATGGAATTATTGATCCAGTACTTTAAGATTTAAGACCAGAATTGTACCTCCTAATAACAGAGACACCACATAACCTCTTACAGAAATCCACACCTGTATATACAGACCCTGCATCCACAATACACCAATATTAATAATTTATGACTAAGAGCACTCTATAAGCAAATGAAATTAAGAAAAACCATGACAACTGAGAACAGAAAAAACTTGCAATCATCCACACAAAAACTCTATTAGAGAACTCAATTCCAGAGAACATTACAGCCAGATGATGTCAGAGAACAAATCTATACAACTAGATCTGACATACATAACATTAATGAAGTGTAAGAGAAAAACCATAATAAAAGTTCTGACAACCCAAATAATAGTTTATAGGATGCTCAGGACCAGATGAAGTAACATCAGCTTACCAGTTGGAGTGATCACCTGCTTTTCTGTAAATGGAAGATGTCCCAGCCCATGTTCAACAACCTGGAAACAATGATCTTAACTGTGTGAAACACCCAAGAGAACCTTTTTGTTGCATTTACCATGTGAAGAACACCGTAAGACAAATTAATTGCATCTAAATCAAAATATACCCACCAAACGAATCAACCGATCAGCATAAAAAACAAAGTCATGTTTAGTTGTTTGAGAGTCACGAATGAGGGTATGCATGCCTCGTATCTGCATAAATCAAAAAAATCATTTTCTTTTAACAAATGTTTATTAATCTTTTTGGAATACTTAGTTAATTGAAGAAAACAAAAATGTTGTACCTGAAAGGTTGAATGAATGACATATAGGTTTGGGTAGATTTTACAGAGATCATGCTGGCCAAGTTTTGTCCTAATATGTTGCACAATCAAATCAATTGCTACATGATTATCTCCCCCACGGGGAATGATAATATCTGCATACTTCTTTGTTGGAAGTATAAAGTCATCAAAAGCAGGTTTGACAAATTTTGAATACTGCATTAAAAATAATTGCATTAGTAAAGGAGAATGTAAAAGATCATAAATTAGTGGGAAGCATAAAGTTATCAGCTGAAAAGAACCTCCAGAAGAGTTGCTGAAACATTAGTAAATTAGAATGGAAAAGATCATAAATTATTGCGTAACAGATTTCTTAAATTGAGTAAACTAATCAAATCAAAGCTTCAGAACAACTGCAATAATCTTAAAGCTGGAAACTGTTTGACAAGCTTTTGCAGTAATGCCCAAGTTCTAATGTTTTGGCCAGAGAAAGGACATAACACCTTTCCAAAACCGTAAGGAGATTTTGATGCCCCAATTCTTTAAAAACAAAATTTATCATGTCAATGTAAATAGTGAAGCAAAAGAAGACCTGATCAAGGACAGCGCCAATATCTCTCCCCTTCTCAACAGTATCACGCCTTATTCTTCTTGCCAGCCGTACATCAGCATCTGCACTGAAAAGTTTTCAACGTGAAGTAACAGCCCAACTCAGTAACACCAACAAAGCAACAAGAAAGATATGTTCCCTAACATACAACAAATAAGTTTTACCATTGAGAATAGCATAGCAATCAAAACAATCTGGTAATTTAAGTAATGTATACTGATAAAATGCTGTACATCCGACCTAATATTCTCTTAGCTATAGGGAGATACAGATCTTGCAAAAGAAGAGCAGAGATATTTGGTTATAAGAAAACTCATTCCTATACTACAATCAATGATACCATAGAACCACTTCATTGTCTACAACCAAATAAACGTATAGGTGACAATAAATTTTCACACCAGATATATGCAGCATGCAAACAAATGTGATCAGCCACAAAATGGAATAAAAGTTTAATTAAATAACCTGTATCAACAAATATTTTCATGTTCATCAACTCTCGGACACGAGGGTCATGAAAAATGAGTATCCCTTCCAAAATTATAACATCTGAAGGATTAACCTGCAGAAAATTTAATGACAGTGAGAGTTTCTACACATCCAAAAACAACAAATATGAGTTGAAATCTCATTACTCTATAGTTCCTTTGCCATAAAAATAAAAAATAAAAAAGAGCTTGGACATTGTACATACAAAACAGTTATAGCTGAATACTAGGTACTTCAGAAGGCAAAAGATGTATCAAAAATTGGTGTCATTGTGTACCACGTAGAAGATATTAATTTTGGGGAACCCTTGAACCAAAAAGTGCCCAAGTACAAGATATAATAAATATGGGTTCCATGTCATATTAACAAGCATTTTGAACATTATGAGACCTTACCCTTCTTGCTGGAAAAACATTATTTTTATAACTCTTGAAATCATAGTTTGGAATATCTACTGCTCTGCCATGCCTCAAGCTCTCCATTGAATCTAATAATTTCTCTGTATCAAATGCATCTACAGAAAAGAACAATATTGCATCAATAAAATTCAAAGCAAACATAAAGTGGAACCAAACAGCATGCACATAACAGTCACATTTTGCTAGGACCAACTGATGAAGACATCCTTTTGTCATTTGCTGATTGATACTTGAATACTCTCAGAACATATCAAATACTTCAAAGTTTAGTACATGGCATGATATAAAATACTTCAAATTCAGAATAAGGCAACTACTTTCAGATAGTTCCCTCTTTCCGAGACAATACATAGAAAACACTTTGTAAACAATTAAATAGAGATGAAAGATTGATAGCATGAGTTTCTGCAATTGATAACCATAGTAATTCAGCAGATTATGGTTTTCTTGATATTTTGAAGCTCTATTATAGAAATACTCTCACCAGGATGGTCAAAGTTGCATTCATGAACTCTTGTAAGTTCCTCTTCAGTGAGATTGTGATAAAAGGAATCCTGGCAAATTGTTCATGTTAAAAAGTTATCCAATGGGAGACCAATTGTTTCTAGCAGTACAGAATAAGAAAGCTAAAAAAGAGGTCAGATCAAAATGTTTAACAATTTCCTTCTGCAAATGATGTTCATATGAGAAAAGCCAACTCTATCTTCCTTTTCTTTGTATGAATAATGGCCAACAATTATATATCCCATTGAATGCAGAGCCAATATAACAACAGGAAGAAACCAATAGTGGAAGGAAGCCACTGATCCATTCTCATCTACATAGGTCAACAACAGAACCAATAGAAGACCCAAGTTTAAAATGGATTAGGAAGAACATAGACTTCAAAACAGGCGGCAAGGAAGGACTGCATTTGAAATTCATACACTTTATAGACCTTCAATTGTTCAGCTTTGAAAATTCACGGGAGTTCTAAATTTACATTGAAGATTTCTATAAGTAACCCTTAACAAAATCTACATTTGGGACTTAGAAAAATTACCTGATTGACTAATACTACACGCTGATCATGAAGTTGCTGAATAATCATATCGCAGACTGTAGTCTTACCAGATGCTGCTCCCCCAGCAACTCCTTACCCACAAAATAATAGCCAAAGTTAGATAAAACGAAAATAAAAAAGTGAAAAAGCTCAAGATATAATAAAAAAAAACCAATGCAATAACCAAACTAGTACCAAATAACCATTAGATCAGCGCCTTTATGTAGTTTTTAAACTATAACTCAAAGAAATTGAAAAAAAGAACATTATACATCACTATTATTAATGAGGCTTGTGCCTCAAGCACAATGAAACGAAAACAGCCATTATTTGGTGGAATATTATATTATGAGGCAATGCTTTCTTCAAAGAAATAGTCATTGGATGTCCATCGCATTTTTCTGAGATTCTTATCCAAACTTCGTCACCAACTACTTTTTATCATTATTGCATCTAAAAGACAACATGAGCAATACGTCAACAACATTTTCCATGTTCGAACTTACCAATAACAAAAGGCTGTTTATGCACATTTTCAGTAGACGGTGAGGTTGTAGGCTTCTCAATATTTCTTGACTCCAAAACATCCATATGGAACCCAGAAAAATGGACCCCAGACGAGGCCTCTATCATATCCTCAACTGATTTAGAACCCATTTGATTAGACCTACAGAAAAAGTTTACAAGTAAGAAAACAAATATATAAGATCGCAAATAAGATAGAAGCTAAATCCAACATGGGACTCTGGCTTGATTGAATCGAGTTGTTCCAATTTCTTTTCCTTTGCAAGATGAAAGAAAATATTCACGGATGCAGCAATCCCATTCATATCGTCTTCACGGGGAAGTAAAGTTATCCCCTTATTACCAATTCCCATAAAAGCTTCAATCTTACCCACAACAAGTCACCTTCAATCAATTCAAACAAACAAAAGATAAAACAAGCATGCACATTGCAATCCCATTACAGAACATTCATTGCGAAGCAGAATCATGGTAGAAACAATCCCAGTAAAGTTTCTTCTTTTCTTTCCCTGTTTTTCCACATTCAATTGCTACAAATAAACACAACCAATCATACATTCAAACACAAATACCGAACCCGAAAGCAACGCCTTTTTGCTATGCCACATGAACCAAATCCCACATACAGCAGAACAGAGCCATACTCAACGGCATTCAAGTGAAAACCACCCAAATAACAACAGTGTTTAGCTACCAATCATAACATAACACAATCCAATAATGTGAAGCTAAAATCTACATAATCCCTTCAAAATCACCAATGATCACCGCCCATTAAAACTAAATCTAACAACTTTTGAAAGAATTAAAAATACCCAGATAAAAAAATAAGGCATTAAACACAAAAAAAAAGTCAATTTCAGATTCAATTCAGCAAAGATTATTCATTGAACAGATCACTTACTGCACGGAAAAAAAAAAAGAAACACAAAGTAAAAAACATTAATTAGCAATTAAATGAGGATTATTGAATCAAAATTACCTGATTTAATGGATGATTAGAGGGAGAGATAGAGAAAAATATGGCTTTTTTTTTTGGCAGAGCGAGAGGTTTGTGACACGGACAGGAATGATTTGGAGGTATTTATACAGTTAAAGAGTGAGTGAGGGAGACCTTACATCGGCATTGCAACCCAAGGATCTATTTTAAGCAAAATAGAATTTTATTTGGGATTTATTTACTTTATAGCCATTCTATTCGATTTTTTTATGATTTTTTTCTCTTCAAATGGACAGTGATATATGCAAACTCACTAATTTCACTTTTTTTTTTTGCTTTTATATAATACAACTAGTGGTATTTAAAGAAAATTTTTATTTTTGTTATTAAAGCAAACACATTATTAGTACGAGTAAATTACTAATAATTATATAATTTATTTATAAAATATTAAATTTTTATTTTAATAAAAAATATGATAAATAAGCCAGGTGTTATTATAAAAATATCAATTCTATTATTCTTTTTAAAAAAACAATAGTAATAACAATAATTCCATCCCTTTTACCATTAGCCTTTAGGATGAAACACCACATGGGGATTGTGGACATGACGAGGAAATGGGAAGTGAAAGTGATATGTTACATTGACATTGTTATCCCAATTATCTTACAGACAAGATAGATTAAGAAAATTGTTTTGTTGAGATTACAATAATTTTAAATATGATATGAATAAAAAATATAAAAATAATATAATTTAAAATTTTAATAAAAATTATAAATATAATTAAAATATAATTTTTTATATTTATATGGATTATAATATATAATTTTTATATAAAATATAATATAAATATATAAATTATTAATATTATATAAGATATAAATGTGTCAATTATCACGAATATATAAATATATTAATTATCACGTCTATTCGTGAGGTCGTTCCGGTTTGAAGAGGATTTGGAAAGGTGAGACGGTGTCTGCAGATTTTGAGATTGCAATTGCAGTGAGTGAAAGCCAAGGAAGCAAGCAAAGCGAAGGAAGGGAAACAGGAAAGGCAGACAGAAGTGATTACTTTTAACGGCAACAAAAACGATGGTGTCTCATGTCAGTCTGGCTATGCCTGCCTGCCTAATCTATCTGTTCTTTTGGATTAGATTTTAGGTTTTCCACGTAAGCACCCAATCACTTGTGGGGTCCATGTCCCATTTTCAACTTTCATACAGGAGATCTGTTTCGGTCAGCTTGTACTTTGACAAGCTAGCTTACTCCAATTCCCTTTTTTTTTCTTTTGAAGGCCCTGTTTGGATCGAGGGAAGGTGCGGTGAGGGCCTTGTCCACTGCATTGGAACCAGCCAAGAACCGGTAACACCAAAGCACTGCCCCTTTTGGACAACGTGGGAAGATTTGATTGGTGAGTTTGGGTTGGCAGTAGGCCCCACCTAGATGTGTGGTACCCAATCTGCATGATTTACATTTGTTAACGGCTATAAATCAATGGGTCTTTTGGAATCTCCAATCATGATTCTGACAGCTCTTCGGTTTTTCAGATTCACCAACCGCTCTAATGCTTTCCCCAGAAACTTCTTTCTTAATTAGTAATTAGTAATAGTTGGGTTGAAAATGTTATATTAATATTAATAAATTATTTAGATTTGGTTTAAATAAAATTTAAATTTGATTATTGTTAATTGAGTTTAGGGTTTAGATAGTTTGATTTATTGATTGTGTTAAATATGAGCATTTTAATATTCAGTTTAAATAGTTTAAGAGGTTAATTAAGTTTTTAAATTTTAATATACTTTTATTATTTTAATTAAAAATTATTATCTTAGTTTTATATATAAATTTAAGTTTGAATTTGACTTCAAATACATAATTAAATTTAAAATCAAATATAAAAATTAAGTTTATTTTTTATTAAATAAACATAATCGACTGAGTTCAAATAATTTAAATTTTATTTTAAATCAAATTTGAATTTAAAAATTAAAAATTAATATATCTCAAATCGAATTTAAAATAATGAATTTCAAATCGAATTCAAATTCAAATTTTTTATTATATCAACTTAATTCGATTCGATTACATCTTAATAGCTAATAATTTATTTTTTGATTTCTAATATTTTCAATCTAATCTAACTATATATTTAAACACATAGAATATATAATATTTACTATATATAACTAGTAATTACATTTTTTTAATATCATAAATTTCAAATTTTAAAAAGTACTATATCATTCCTAAGAATATATTTATATACCATACCATAACTTTTCTATATAAAAAAAATGTAAACCTTTTTTTCTTATTTAAAAATGGACTCCCTCACATACCTCGCTAATGTCAAGATGCAAAATGATATGTCGGAAGAGATTGAAATTTTTGCATTGAAATAACAATAATTTTCTTTTAAACTCTTTTTTTATGCTCCCTTTTTGTCCAATCATAATTTACTAATTTTACTTCTTAGAACTACAAGCTTCATAATCAAATATCCTGATAAAAATCCACAAAAGTTAGTTAAATTGCTCGGAAAAAAACTCTTGTTACTTGTCAATTAAGAATGGATCTTGCAAGTAAAATTTGAAAATATTTCATATGGAATTATAAAAATAATATTTTAATAAAAGCAAGTAATTCTACAAATTGCTAGCTATGTACAAAAAAATAAAAATTAAAAAAATATTCTTTTTTATTTTTTTTAAATCAACCTTTACAACTCTTGATTGAAATAAATGTTCCTTCAATTTATCATTTAAAAAAATGTTCCAAGTCAAAGTCTTTAAGTTCAAAGTTTTGTGGCAATGAAAAATCAAGTTAGGGAGGCATAAGGCTCTAAAATTGGTTAGAAGCATGAATTACATATATATTGATGAAAAGAATGTTAATTAATTAAGAGTTATAAAGTTAAATATATAATAAAAGTTTGTATAATAAAATTAAAGTTAGGGTTAAGTAGTTTTCAAATAACAATGACTGAACATCATACCTACAAATTTGATGGACAAGCCCTTATCTTGTATTAATATTTTGCGTCTCAATTTTCATTTATTACTTTACTTTCCAAGTTATGGATAGCAACATGTAAAATTGATGGGAGGCATAAGCCAATTGAGTTTTTTTTTTTTCTTTTTTTGTAAAATAATTAATATGTGGGGCATTGTGTTCTTGATCAAGATCAACTACCATTTGCTTTCATTTGTTCTTCCTTACTGTTTTCAACTTTCCTCTTGTTCTAAACATATATGGCTGTTTTTTTTTTTTACAACCAAAAATCATATGTTTTCCTTTAATAACCTAAAACACAATATGATAACATAATACGAATTTGATATAAAAATAAATTATAAAAGTAATATAATTTAAAATTTTAATAATAATTATATATAAGTTTAATAAAATTAAAAAATATATATTTTACATTTTCATGTTAACACGAATAATAACATATAATTTTTATGTAAAATTCAATATAAATATTCAAAATTTAATATTTTACATGATACAAATACATAAATAATCAAATTTATTTTTCAACTCTTTAATCTGTTGCATAGACACCTCTTGTGTTCTTTTGTCTCCAAATTCATTTTCCTTAAAAACCCACTCCACGAAAATCATTGTTTCTCATATTCCAATAGAATCTTACCCCCAAGGAGAGTGTATCACGTTTGCTAGAGGAACATGCCATGTTGTCAATGGCCTTTTATCTTTAAATTGACATCTGAATTTGGGGATTAGCCCACTTCACTTGAAAGCATTTTCCCACTTTCTAGTTCATTTGATAGAGGATTTTAGCCCACTTCAGAACCATTGCATCAATCTCTGATTCATGTCCATTGGGCTACTCCAGCCACTATAAACCAGACTCTCTAGCTACAATGGTTGAACATAGTTTGTGCAATATTAAAGGTTGCAACCTGCATGATTGGGTTTATGGCATTATTTACAGGATGCCGTGTCTTCAATTTATATATGTACTAATTAACCCATAATGTACATGTAGGATTGTTAGGAGTTGCAAAGAAATGTGCGGCATGCGTGAATGATGGATCAGGGGTCCCAAACAATGATGCTTTCTCATGCAAAAATGCAATCTTTGATTAAGTCAAAAAAGAAAAAAAAAATGATTATGTTATGTATAACACACTCAAAGCAAAGCAAAGTTGTCACCAAAAAAAGAAAAAAAAAAAAGCAAAGCAAAGCAACTAGCTAGCTAGCAGTTAGAGGCATTTTAGTGTTCGAGGAGCAAAATGGACTTTTTCTCTTCTTAGTATAAGTTAGTTGACAAATAAGAATGTCCTAATCTTTTAATCAAGCGTACGATGTCAAGTCCATCTGAAATCCGAAATTTATATCAAGTCGATTATCTTAACAACCTATGAATTAGTATTTTAGAATGCTAACTTATCATGTCCTAGATGAATAATCAATTATTAATTTAGCTTGGGTTTACAAGATCAGCCCTAATGCTGTAGGCTAATTTCAACTACTTTAATCTTAAAACTTCCCATTACACAAGTATGACAATCTTATTTTTAATTCATTTTAAATTCTTCAAGTTTTTAAGTCTTTATTCAATTTTTTCTTTTTCTTTCTCTTAAATTGATTTTTAATTTGAATATCAAAATATAAACGTTAAAATCATCTTAACTTTTATCGATAACCACTTTCTTTTTTTTTTTTTTTGATGTTTTCAAGATTTTACATTCTTTGGTTAGCTCAACACAAGGATTAGCTACTGTTAATATATCTTTTTTTTGTTCTATAATCTCTTCTCCAGCTAAAATTTCACTAAAGTGAAGACATATATATTGATTTTTCTTCCTTGGTGGTCAGGCCTCGTGCCAGAAATGGCAAAGTTTCTTCCACATTACATGGCGCAGAATTCTGAGAATAATTTCTCTTTTTAAGAGAAAAAAAAAAGGATGATGAATTGAAGGGACCCTTTCTTTATTACATATAAGTTTTTCTTTCTCTTATCTTTTTTTTTTTAAATTGTAAATAGAAGCATAATATATAACAATAATGAAAGCCCTTCATGATGGATTAACAAGCAATTGCTTAATTAGATGATGCCCTTAATTCACTTGCCAATCAATGTCAAATGGTTTAGTCTGTGTTAAATTTTTAATTTTAATAATCAAAATTTAATTTTTAATAATTTTAAATATAAAAAAAAAAGTAAATTTGTACTTAAACACATGAATATTACAATATCAGACGATATTAATAAGATATTCCATATTTTCATCATGTGAAAAAATTGAGACGAATAAACAACAAGTAATTACTAGTAATAGT